CTTTATTTATTTATTTTCAATTTGGCCAGAGAGGGACAGGGCTGGGGAGTAAGCGAGAAAGCAAGCTGCCAGGTCCAGGCCTCAAACTGAGGTTGGCCATGTGGAAGTCCAGTACCCTTAAACACCATGCCAACTGTTGGCCCCGGATTTCAAAAACTTTTGACAGCCAAATAAATCCATACTTTAATTCCATTTTTCCATGAACTTTTCAAAGTCTAAATGTTGCAAAATGTTAACCATCAGTACATCTACTTTGTGTTATTTATTTAGTTAGTTAGTTAGTTTTGCTAGGGTGTGTACACTCTTCAGAGAGGGAGTGGAGTGAGAAATCACCCCCCAGAGGGGACAGCCATGCCACAATTCCTTTTCCATTCTTGGTATTTTGGTCACACACATACATGCTCCCAGAGTGTTTTTCAAGCCGCCAGGTCCAGTATTCAAACCACAAAGTTGGCCATGTGGAATCCAGCTGCCTTAAGCACCACACTACCAGCTGACCTGCCCACAATCAGTAAACCTAGATGAAAGGTATATGGACATTTCATGTTCTATTTCTGTAACTTGTGTAGATTTGAAAACTTCAAAATAAAAAGTAAGGGAGAGAAAAATAACTCATAGTCCAGGCAAATAACTCATAGTCCAGGCATTATTGGATGCCAAAATTGATGTACCTCCAGGATCTGAGTTCATCTTCAAACTAACCCCAGAAGGAGCTGTTATGATTCTCATATTGAAGAGAAGGAAATAGGGTCAATAGGTGGCATGGTGGTTAAGGTTCTGGATCCCACATAGCTAACTCCATGGTTCAAGTCCCATATCTAAAGGTTTGAAAAACATGCCGGATGTGTGTGTGTGTGTGTATGCGTGTGTCCAAAATCCCAAGAGGAGAATAGAGGAAATGAGATTATGGTGTGCCCATTCTCTCAGAAGATGATTTCTCACTTTCCCTCTCGTGCTGTCTTCTCTCTCCAGCAAGTGTATGAGCTCTATGGAGAAAAAAAAAAAAAGGATAAGGAGTCCCTGAGAAGTTAAGGAACATGTCCAAATTTACAGAGTTAGGGTTAAAATAGAGTCCAAAGCAAAAGTGAGTTCCCATGGAGGAGAGCTGCTGGGACACTGACAGCTGATGCTTTTCTGTGCTCTTCTGTTTGCTTCTAATGTTTTAAATCCTCCATGCAAATTAATTCATTTATTTTCTCCTTCCTAAAAGGTTAGTACTTTGTGGTAAATCACTTCAGTGGTGTGGGCTGGAGGGCATGCAGGGATGCTCATACACATTGATAGAAGTGTAGGTTGGTGACGTCTCCTTGGAGAGCCATTTGCAGTATCTATTGAAATTGAAAATTCATATTATGTTTAGAGCCAGCAGTTCCACTTTTAAGTGTTAAGTCCTAAAGACAGACCTATGTGTGGACCAAGAGGCACGTGCAAAGGTATTCATCATGCCAAAGACTGGAAACCTCTTAACTATCCCTCATTAGGAATACTAGAAAACTATTTCAAAAAGCAAGGCATTCTGGGGCAGCCCTCAGCCTCATGGTTAAAGGAGCTCAGATCCCACACAGTCAACCGCACTCCAAATCCCAGCTCTAGTGGCCTGAAAATCACGGTGCATGTGTGTGCCCCAAATCCCCACAGGATGGAAAAATAGGTAAGGGATTGCAATGTGGCCATACCCAGCTGGGGAGTATTTTCTCTCTCTTTCTTTCACTCTCTCTTTCTGTCCCTTTCATATGTTCACTAACAATTTTTAAAAAAAGGCAGTTCTAAAAGTGTAAATACACCACATTTAGAGTCAAAAAAGGATAAAACAAATGTTAATGTCAAGAGAAAAAAGTAGGAGATGCTTCTTCCTTAGTGTTAAAAGGTGGACAAAATACATATACATAAGCACATACATATGGAATACATATGCTTATGAGGATATGCATATTTACATATGCATAAAATATCTTTTATAAAAAGTTTTTTTCTTTCATGAGAAAGAGAGACACAGACAGACAGACAGACAGGTAGGAAGTCACCTCTGACCAGGTCTTCATGCCTCAATCTATCCCCCAGGAGTACTCAGTCCCAGGCATGTACAGGGAGACCTCTGGACAGGGACCTGGGTGGGACCTTCAATTATGGCCTCAGCATTATGGATTTATTATTGTTTTTTGAATTATTTATTTATTTTTATTTATCATTATTATTTTTTAGTTTGCTATAGGACTCATGCAGTCACCAGACAGAGAGAGAGAGAGAGGGAGAGGAAGAGAGAAAGTGAGAAAGCAAGCTGCCAGGTCTAGGACTCAAACTCCCATGTGGGAGTCCAGCACCTTAATCACCATGCAACCTGCTGGACTAGCATTGCAGATCTTTGAATCACCAATGCACCGTGCGGCTGGTCTGCGTAAAATATCTTAAAATTCACAATAGTTATCTTTTTTTCATTTAATTTAATTTTATTTATTTTATTTTTGGAGAGGTTTTCGCTATAGGGCGCGTGCGCTCGCCAGACAGACAGAGAGAGACATAGAGACAGAAAGCGAGAAATCACCCCCAAGAGGGGATGGTCATGCTGCAATCCCTTCTCCTCCATTCTCCTCTCGAGATCTTGGGCACGCACGCACACCCACCCAGTGTGAGTTTTAAGCCACCGGATCCGGGACG